TGCCCTTGGCCTTTGACCTAACTTATCTTATGAGGAAAACTAAAATTTAAAAGAATCTAGAAGCGGCCGAGATGCCTCGTTGGCTCTGGGATAGGGCACCTTTGCAGTCACCAGCGGCCGCTCCTCCCACATCGGCGGAATGCGGACGCTGAAGTAATCCTTGGGAGTGGGCTTGGAAAAGGGGCCGACCATGACAACCGTTCCAGGGATTCTTGACACTGAAGGCGCCGCCTTTGGTGTTGACCCTGACACTGAGCCAGCCGATGCCCCCTCCGCAGCTGAGCCAGTCGATGCCCCCTCCGCAGGCGTTGACACTGACTCTCCAGCCGCAGCTTGCCTCTTCTTCTTCTCTTTCGCCTTATCCTTCTTGGACTGGATCTTCTTCTGCACCCAGGCGGCACGTTCTGCTTTGCGAACCTTGCAAACATGCTGCAACACTAGGACGTACTATAATAAGGATACTTGAAGCCTATTCTCAGGGCTAGCAGAAAATATCCCAGAACTATCGGAAATGGAAAAGGCAATCACGATGCCGGCCAAGTCGCATCCTTGCCCTTCTTGGGCGCTGGCTTCACCTTCGCAGTAGCGCTCCGGAGTCCAGCCGAAGACGATGCAGGCCCAGCCGACGACGATGCAGGCTCCTGGGCCTCGGCTGATAATGGGATCGGTCAGACAAGGTTTCAAATAATATGACCCTGGAATGAGGGTTAAGGGTTTGGCTCCATGAATTTTTGAGTCAGCTTTCGATGGTTTGGTAACCACTTCCCAAACAAACCCCTTTTCACAAGCTCTTCTGAAAGTTGATCCAAGAGGCATCGTCGCTTTGACACTGACCATCAGGATCTGGCGGCGTCACCGGGATCAACTTAGCATCGCAGAGCACTTGTAAAAAGCGCAGCGATGCACAATGAATGAAATTGTGCCAATGCGACTGATGTCATGATATTGGAATAATTAGTCTTAAACTAAAATAAACCTAAACCGACACCCGGAAAGGCTCCCCACTCGTGCCAAGGCACGCCTGCCGTCTCTCCTCTCGCGATGGCAGCCGCTCTAGCTTTCGGGCGATTTTGGCGCCGAAGCTTGTGACCCGAAGTCTGCACCATGGTGACTCACTGTCACTGTGTCACTCTTTGACACTGCTACCGGATGATACCCTGAAAGTGAATTTGAAGTATTACGCAAGGTGTGCCGCAAAGTTTGACACTGACACTACGACACTGACTGACTGGGGCTACGAGGAGGACCCCTCAAGTTGCGCACATCCTTAGGCTTAGGTCCGAATCCTTCATTAATTGCCTGTCCAAAAGCTGTAGCCCACGTGAGCCCCGCACGGCTTTGAGCCAGGATCTCACGATGCAAGGAGGTGTTCGCTGCAGACTCTCGGGGCTCTAGGGCCTAGGGTGAGTTTCAAAAGAAGCAACAGGATTCTTGACCCACCCGGCTGCTACAATGATTGTAAAGCCAAGCCCAAAGAAACTGAACACCGAATGCAAAGTCGGTAAATCGGCGGGAGAGGGACCGAAACTCTGACCCTGGGAAGGCTAACCCTTAACTCCACAACCTAAATTAAAGTTCGGTGGGCCAGGGAACTCAAGGGGCGAGGTATCTGAGACCCGAAGCTTTGACCCTGGGAAGGCATGAAAACCTGAACTCTAAACCCTAAACTTCGATGGGCCGGGGAACCCAAGGTATCTAAGTCTTAGATGGTCTTAGACCCGCACGAAGCTCTGACCCTGCGAAGGTATTCTAGTATTAAGCCCTTGTGTAACTAGTTCACCCTAAAGCCTGAAAGATTTCGTGGGGTAGGGTTACATGCACGCCCCTGTGAAGCTGCTGGGTTTAGGGACATTGAGCCTGGTAAAAATGTTCAAACCCTGACTGAGTTTGGGGTTTAGGGTTTTGGGTCCGGGTTTGGGCTTTTTTCGAAGGGCCGCAGGTTTGGGGTTCTGGGTTAGTTTAAATTTTGGTGTTCAGGTTGCAATCCCCCAAAACCCTAATACTGAAAATTCACATCTTCACCTCAAGGCCCAAACCCAACCCTAAGCCGCCCAGCCCAAAAGCTCCTCGTCATCGCATCGTAGCCGGCAGCCGAAATGCCAGGCCCTGGGCACAGCATCCGGTTAGGGTTGTGTGCAGGCCAGCAGGACAGCTACCGTCATGATAGGTCAGATACTTCAAAGATGCATCGTCGGCCAAGCCACCCGAAGCCCCTGGAAAGTCCCGCCAAGAGCCTGGCCTTGACACTGACATTGAACTTGTTTTGCCTGCCCGAGGGGATGGGATTTGAGGATTCAGGGCAGGTTGTGGGGTTTAGGGTTTAGGGTTTCGGGTTCGTGCGGGGATTTCTCGCCCGCAAGGCTAGCAAGCGGCACCACATCCGTGTGGATGTGGACAAAGCCACTGCTGCCCCGTAACCGGGAGTTTTCACTCCCGGCTTGCAGCGCCGGAGCTGGGGGGCTCCGACATGCTGCTGCAAACCGTCCGCCAGAGTTCTCACTCTGGCAAGGACAGTTTGCGACGGAGAGTTTGCACTCTCCGCCCGACAGAGTTTTCACTCTGCCTCCCCGAACACTAAACTTAAACCCCTAAACCCCGGCCTCCAATGGCCTCAGTGACTGAGGCCCCCGGCAGACACTGACACTGAGGGCGGGTTTAGGGTTTTTAGGGTTTAGGGTTTAGGGTTTGGGGGTTTAGGGTTTGGGGTTTAGGGTTTAGGGGTTTAGGGTTTTAGGGCCTGGGGTTCACAGAAGAGGTTCCCTGAGAGGCTTATGCTCGCACCGCCGTTGGTAGTATGATGTCTAAAAGGCCACAATCCAAGCCACAAGCCCCGGTTTCCAATTCCTGAAGAACCCTAAACCCAACCCCCCGAACCAGCCTGCGAATGCGGCTGGAGCAAGCTGGCCGCCCCATCGGATCCAGGAGGCGGGGTTTAGGGTCGTGGGTTTTGGGTCCGAAGTTAGGGTTTTAGGTTTTGAGTTTGGGGTTGGTTTTTGGGTTAAGGTTTTCAGATTTGGGTTTTGGGTTTAGGGCTTTAGGGTTTGGTGCTTGGGTGTTGGGTTTGAGGTTTGGGAATCGGGTTTGGAGTTTCAAATTTGCGTTTTGGGTCTAGGGTCTGACGTGGTTTGGATTTGGGGTTTAAGGTTAGAGGTTTAGGTTTTCGTTTCAGGGCTGGAGTTTGGATTTTGCGGCTAGGGTTTCGGGTTTAAGGCTTAAGGTTTGGGTTTCTAGTCTAGGGTTTGAGATTTGGGTATTGGGTTTAGGGTCTGATTTTTCATCACCTGAACCCCGGCCCCCGGTTGGTATCCCCTAGTAACAACCCCTGCCGAAACCCCAAACGCAAATTTCGAAGCCCAAACACAAGACCCAATGTTCAAACCCTAAACCCAAATTTCAAGTATAAACCCAGCACCCACATTTCAAGCCCTTTAAGCCCAAACCTCAAAGCCTTCAGCCGTAAGCCCCAAACTCCATGACACTGCTTAGGGTTTAGGGTGGGGGTGTGATATTTAATATAGCAGAACAGGGCCCGGGAGACAAAAGTATAAAAGGACAGCACTGAAAGGGCTAGTTATAATAAGGATCCTTCCTTAGAATGAGGATGCTACAATTTAGGGTACTATGTCAGGGTCCCCTAATTTTCGGCAACTCCCAAATCCTCCCATGCCCAAGGGTTTCGGCACTCACACTCGGACGAACTTGGCGAGGATCCCAGGGCTTAGGCTTTAGGGCTTAGAGTTGGGCCACTATAGTTCCAGTACAATGTACCCAGAGGGTTCCCAAACTCCATTCTCTGAATGGCTTTTGGACTTTGAAACCCTGCTATTTGGGCACTTGGACCCTTACGAGTAGGAACCTGATTAAGAAATCACGGGTCTTTATTAGGGTTCTTTATATGCGTAGTTGTCAAAATGATGGTCCCTTTGGGGTCCTTCAGGGGCTGTAATTTTGACAACTACCCATATGGATCCTACTATTCTGTGGTCATAGGGCCAGGGTTTCTTCTATACTGTTGATGACATAAATCCTGCATTAAGGACCCTAAACTATAGGAATTAGGGCATATTCCTTATTGTGGGCAATGCAGGATTTATGTCATCAAGCGTAGGAGTCCCAAAGTAGCAGAGCTGGGGTCTGGGGGGTTCATATACCCTACGGGGTTTTGGGGTTTAGGGGGTTCAGGGGTTTATGGTTTTGGGTTTAGGGTTTAGGGTTTGGGCGTTCAGGGGTTTTTAGGATTTGGGTTTAGGGTTTAGGCTTTAGGGCTTTCATAATCTTTCGCAAGTAAGGGGCTTTAGTCGCGCAACATGCTTCAACGAAGTCATAGTACGGCACATCACGGTCCATTTGCCATGTTCCAAAGCGCAGTCAGGCCTGGATACCTGCCACTCGGCTCTTGCGCCTTGTCCACTGAAGGGACAAATCGTGTGACTTCGGGTGCAAGATACTTGAACTGTGCGCTACACTGCGTTCACATAGTGGTGTTTGCAAGGTGATGAAGATCCAATGTTGCTGTGGTGTCAAGCCTTTGAACCACGAGCGAAGCGATCGCCACAATGTGGCTGGCGAACTCTTCAAATCCATGCACTGGCGATACAACTCCAATGCTTCGTGCTTGAGCTCGTTTGCAGGCAAGCCAGCAAACTTGCACTCCTCGACCAAGTCATCATCATGCTGTGCCATGGTGGATATTGTGACATATGCATGGAAATCTTCACGCATTATATCCTGCTGCTTTGCAGTCGTCCACGTGCTGCACGAAACCAAAGCCACGGTTTGATACTGCCCTTAAGAAAAAGCTTGCGCCATGCAGCCAACTCAACAGAGGATGCGACGGTCGACACATCGCGTGCTTTGTGCGCAAGGTTTGGGGTTTAGGGTTTATGGAAGAACGACACTGGGATGCTGCTTCTGGCTTTTCCGAGCCCAGCATTACAAAAAAACAGTCTTGGAACACAGGGTTTAGGGTTACAAACCTAGCGTTGAACCTGAACTGGGTCCTCACTCTCTGCTCTCCGACGAGGGGGCATCGTCGCTGCCGAGGATGGAGGATGCGATGCAGACTGTGCAGGCGTGCGACGTGCAGCAGCAATGAGAGAGCGACCTTGGGCGTCTAGGGTGTGAGTTCGTTTTGCTTGTTGTGTGTTTGCTGGCACACTTCTCGGTTTGTGCGTGTCATCCTTGCGCAGGGGGCACGCAACTCGTCTCATCTCTCTGTGCATTGTAGTTCCATAGTTGTCGCATGATCCCCGAAGCGAGTTGCAGCTAAAGGGTGTTTCTCTTGTTCGGGGCATGTTGTAGGGGCAAGGGCTTTCGTGCAGACTTTCTTGAATAAACTTTGGACGGTGTGGCTTCTTGGACTTCGGAAAGCAACATCGCACCTTTTGCTAGACTTGGTTTAGGACGTCATACACCATTAGGCTGATACACCCTAAATCTAGACCCTATACGCATTGCAACACTCAAGGCTAAACTTAAAAGTGCCAATTGCGAAGGCCAGTGCTGGATGATGGATGCTATGCTGGGGGGTTTGGAGCTGAATCCGCTGGTTCTTCACAGGACAAGGGTTTAGGGTTTAGGGTTTAGGGTTCATGAACCCTAAGCCCTAAACCCTAAACCCTAAACCCTAAGGGTTTAGTTTTTAGGGTTTAGGGCTCCGCAGCACCTAAATCCAAAGCATCGCATGTGCCGCATTGTCACAAGCCCGAGGCCCTGAGCTCAGGCAGGTTGTATATGGGAGTTTCCGAAAATAGGGGACCCCAGGGTTCCTTTAAAGGGTTCCTTAAAGGGATCTATAAGGGTTCCATAAAGGGTTTAGGGTTTAGGATTATGGGAGTTTCCGAAAATAGGGAACCCTAAATATAGCACCCTGAAAATTAAGATCCTTATTATAAGGACCCCAAAATAAGGTACCCCGAATTTTCGACAACTCCCATATCTCGAGTGATGCCAAGGTGCTTCGGCAAAGCTCGATGCTGGCCCTGGGCCCGGAAACAAGTTGCTGTTGACCAGGATTTTCCAGAGAGTGTTTGCAGGGCTTGAATGTATGGTTTAAGAATTAGCATGGCCGCCGTTACAGGGGCCACCCGACATATCTTTCAACCGATCTTAACCCACGGTGGCAACGGCAACGGCTCGACTGAGCATCGGTATACCGAAGTGAAGTCAGAAAGAGAGAGCAGCCCAACAGCCCACTCTCAGACCGGCTGGTGGGTGCTGAGGGGGCAACACGCTCTCGCCTTGTGTGCGGGGGCCCCAATGGGGTTTTGGGCTATCCGGTAGTTGAAGGGGTCTCAATGCTTATATACAATGTGGTTCGGCAGCATATTGCAGCATAACAGAGGGTACGTTGACGTAAAGCTTAAAGGACCAGGCAGTAAGACGACATGGGTTGCTGGGAACTTTGAACCCAGGCTCAAATCCGCAACTGGCTTCCTTCTAACATTTCGCTGTTTGCGTTTACCAAGAACGGCTGCTGTCCCACCGTGCGAAACGAACCGAGTCCGTGGCTGAAGCGGCAAGTCATCATCTGTATTCGCAACGGACTGCGCAGTGCAGCTGTGCCTTGGGAGTCGAAATTGTAGGATCCTTTTCTTTTGAACGAGGTCTGCCTAAAGTGTGCCTAACCCTAAACCGCAGCTCTCAATTCAGGGCTAGGGTTCAAGGGTAAAAGAGCGATGACTGGAGTGTTGCAAGTTCCTGGATGTGAAATTCGGAATCTCGAAGACAGTCTCGATTAAAGGTTACCATGAGACAACCGGCCTTTCAATCGTAGTTACAACTGGTTGGCAGGGCCGAGAGGGCGGAGTGGAGCGAAGGGGGTGCCTGCTTGAGACGAGACGGGGAGCAGCGATGAGAGAACCCTAAACCCTAAACCCTAAACCCTAAACCCTACACCCCAAACCCTAAAGTTGGGGAAACCATGCAAGAAGCAGAAGGCTTATAGGGCCCAGCGGTTCTTACCTTGTTCAGGGGTCCTTGGCATATGGATGACTGGTATGCCAAATCCCCGTTTCTTCCTACTAATCTCTCTTACTTCAGTAAGCGATGCCTTCCTGAACAAAGAGTATTTACAGGATCCATAACCGTGGTACTTGTAAGGCGTAGCAGTATCATGACCACCCTGCGTTTCACTGGTTTAGGGCCTGACGCTTAGGGATGCCCTAAACCCGACTACGACGAAGACGATGCCGGCTGACCATCGCCCTTTAGCCAAACGTCTCAGGGCAGAGCCGGGATTGGATCTGAGAGAGCGCCAGCAGCACTTTCTCCTGCGCGAGAAGGGTTTAGTGGGCGTTTAGAGTTCAGGGTCAGAGCGTCCCGAGCCCTTAAACCTTAAAGCGCCCGCAACATAATGACGATGAGACCCTTCAAACTGAACCCTGCATGATCTTGGCAATGGAAGTTGAGTCAATCTGATCCGATTCCTCCAAGTCCCGAGTGGGAGTTCTGGATCTCAAACCCCTCTTTGTATACGTTCTGATGGGGCCTCAGGACTGATGTCGATACCTCAGTCCCGGCGGTCATACGCCGAATGGATCCGGATTCGGGGCTTAAAGCCGGAACCCCTGCACCCGAAGAAAACGAAATGTACATCAGCACCAACCAGCCAACTTCCTCGAACCCAGAAGCCAGGTTCATTCCACGCGGCTTTCAAGATCACCGCTGCTGACAAAGCCGAGTTGTGGAGGTAGCGTTCCGAGAACAGAGCTGCCCAAACCGTCACAAACGAATGTATCCGCGACTGGCGCGTAATTGACGTTGCCACTAATAATGGAAGGACTGTCCCTGATACTAGGCGGCCAGACTGCGTCGCGAGGTCAAGACATTGTACCCTGCGATCAAGGCTAGTTCGGCAGATGACTATAGTATGACGACCTGTATCATTCCTCAGGGTTCCTTACCATAGTATACCCCCTAACCCTATTCTAACTATTCAGCCCGCTATATGAAGCAGATTAGTGGGGGGCTGCGGCTTGGGCAAGAATCCTTCTCCTCCAAAAAAGTTGGATTAGTTGCTCGTGAAAAATCAAACGTTGGGGTATATTAGAGTAAAACGATAAGGACAAAAAGCAATAGTCTAAAGGGGGTGGGCGCTAAAGCGGAGGAATCTCGAGGAACCCGGGACGCCCAGGAGGCAAGTCAAGCCGATGAACCCGCAGCCTAAGCCCTGCCGCCTAAACCCTGAACACTAAGCCTTAAAGCCCAAACCCTAAACACTAAACCCTGAGCCCTAGACCCTAAGCCCTTTTACGGACTTGTGCAATCGCCTGAATGCGATGTTTGAGCAACACGGAGGTTCAGCTCCCACGGCTGATCTCCCATGCCCTGCTCAAAGCCCTAAACTTTAAACCATCAGCCCTGCACCCTAAACCCTAAGCCCTGACACCGTCTCCTGGAACTGCTGGTGGTAGTTCTGATGCCAAGTCTCGAGCTGCCTTTGCACCTGGTTCCCCTCCCTTTGACCTCCCTATATCCACTCTGAATATTGGCAGTAGTATTCGCACCACTGGTATTGCTTACAAATACAAATTTTCATGCACAGTCAGTCGTGTTAGTGCTGGTATTTCTTTTCCTTATGTAGTGTTCTACTATGACCGGAATTATTGGTACTAGTCTTATGGTTGTGTTGAATATTAGGATATGGCGAATGTCTTTTAGTGCATTTAAGGCTATGAACCATACACCCGGAAACACACATCTGTGGGGAAGGTGGTTTTAGTGTATTTGGGGCTATGAACCATGAACCCGAAAACCAAAATTGAAACAACATCGTTAACCTCAGAATGAAAGCCCTCAAGCGTTTCCGATGTAGCTCCTAAACCCTACGTTATCCCTGAATAGCCTGCCTTTTTGGTTTCCTTATTATGATTTCCTTTTGTAATCCATAAAAAAGTAGGTTATTCCGGCTTAATTAAAGTAAACTTAGGCTTCAGCGTTCGGCCCTCTTGGTGCACAGTTTCAGCTTGGGCGTGGGGGGCTGTGAGGGCTTAGAGGTTAGGTAAGGGTTTAGGGTTTAGGGTTTAGGGAGCAGCACCCTGGGCTTGGCGTAACTCTGAAGCGGGGTCGAAACGTGAAGTACATGGGTGGTTGTCAAAATTAGGGTCCCTTTTTGGGTCGCTACTATAATACGGCACCTAATATTTAGGGTACCCAAAAAGGGACCGTGAATTTGACAACTACCCAGATTAATTGGGGGCTTCCAGGAACTTAAACGGGGTTGAGTCTTGAGTTAGTGCGACACAGGGCCAAAAGCCGGTACTTGGCAGGTCGGGTGAGGTTCAGGGTTTAGGGTTTTGGTTTAGGGTTTAGGGCTAGGGTTTAGGGCTTTGGTTTAGGGTTTAGGGTTTTGGTTTAGGGTTTTGGTTTAGGATTTAGGGTTTTGGTTTAGGGTTTAGGGTTTACCTGCTCAGGCTGCTCTTCTTTGGGGAGGTCTGTTGGCAGACCGCCAATGAAGCGGCTGGATTCTGCATCAGTGCGCAGGCCATACGGCTGCACGATTCTGAGCCCAGGCATTCCATACATTCTTTCCATCCCACCGTTCGCCACAGGGCGGAAATTGGGCATCACCCTGGCATGGTAAATTTCGGTTGCTTTATCAAAGCCCATGCGGAAGAGAGGATCCGTGCTAGACTTTGTGCCCTTCTGATAGGCATCCACCAAGTCGGGAAGGCTTTTCCCGGGCCGGAGTTGGCAAGCACAATCCTCCCAAGAAAGGGGTCACCAGCGAGTCTCACGTCTCTTGGCTGTGGCCCAAAGACCCTGAACCTCACAGCCTCAAGCCCTAAGGCCTCACGCTGAAACCTACTACAGTAAGCCCCAAAAAGTTGGAAACCTGATTAAGGACAATTAGTCCTGGGATTCCTTGTACATTACTCTTAAGGGGTGAGGCTATGGAGTTTCCAACTTTTGGGCTTCTACTGTATAGGGGCCTAAATGTTTACCAATACCACTTTGAGGGTTCCTTGTTATAGTTCTAATATTACGCGCCCCAAAATCCTAGTCTAATTATTGAGGCCTCTATGTCAAGTGACTTTTCTGCTACCTCTTATACTGTAAAGATTTGACCAGGGTGCTGGCAAGGAGGTCTTATTGATCCTCCCGACATCTCCATTATCCTCGTGTGCCCTTTGGTCTGCTCAGGGTAGGGAGGGTGTGGGGTGTACTTGGAGGATCATGGGACTTAGTAAGTAGGTTATAAGTGGGGTTCAAAGTCCCCTAAGTGGGGTTATCCTAAGTATAACCTACTTATGACCTTACTTACTAAGTCCCATGAGCCTCCAAATAGTGTTCAGTTTTGTTGGGCGGCTTGCTCTCCCGCAACTCGGACTCCGCCAAACGACGTCTCTCGATCCATGAGCACTTTGACTGAATGCATGCCGAACCCTCGCGAAAGCCTGAAAGCCTCTTTGTGCAATCGCCCGCAAGACCCCTGCCAGAACCCTCAAGCAATATAGATGCATTGTAGTGTAACTTATGAGGGACTGCAAGGGCAGACTGTTGGTAGCTATTCAGGCTTCTGCGACAACAGCACCGTCAACTCTGAAATGTGAAAACCCGGGCCCAAACCCCACAAATCCAGCTGCCAGGGCACCAAGGGCTCTAACAAACCTTGTAGGACTTCCACCTTGGAGTTGCTTCTTCCCAGAGACTCCAATATCCCTTAGTTAAGGAATATACCTTAAATTATAGTAGGATCCCTGATATGATTTAAGGAATATTCCTTAATTAAGGGGTATTGGAGTCTCTGGGTTGTTTGGCGGTGAGGGTCTCAGGAACCGGGTTGCCGAGTAGGCCCAGACCTTGGAGTAGTACACGGGTCTTAATAGTCGGAGTAGGGCTTTTGGGGGCTGATGTAGTATGGTAGTATCATTATAGTAAGACGGTATGTTTAAAATTATATATTCCGACCCCTAGATTACCTGGACTGCAGGCTTTGAAGTCGGACTTGTTTGGCTTGCCAGCACGATTCCTCCTCCACACTGACTGAGCCTTTAAGTTCAATTGCAACCTTGGCCTCTACGTAAACCCGAGGCCCAGAGACTCCAATACCCCTTAATTAAGGAATATTCCTTAAATCATATTAGGGATCCTACTATAATTTAAGGTATACTTAATTAAGGGATATTGGAGTCTCTGGAGGCCTCACGCACCCAACCCGAAATTTTCAAGACGACTCACCAGAGACCCGAATCTTCTCTCATGCTGCAAAAGCCGAAGAAAACAAAACATCGCCGAAAACACCCCTGGAACCCAACTGCAAAGCTCTGAAAACATAGATCAAAGCCTGCTTGTTAACTTGACTAAACTTCCGTCACACCCTCTAAGCTCTAAACCCCAAGACCCTGAAACATCTAAACCGCTAAACCCAGAACCCTAGGATCGGCCGAGGAGCATGTTCATCGAGATCTCTGTCCTGGGCTTTCAAGTAACCAGGATAAAAATATAAGCTTGTATTTCATAATGGTTCCTTTAAGAAAAAAGTATGAAAGTATAGTACTCCAAAGCCCAGTGTCAGCCAGGTCGTCCGAGTCGATGTTCAAGGACCGCGCGTTCACAACCATTGCCGCTGCTCTGGTGCTTCTACTGTCCCCAAGTACCTAAATAGTATATACATTAACCTTAAAGTACTCCCTATATGCCCTATATGGGTACATGGACCCTTAGGGTGTGTTAGTGGTTGACTCTGTTTTCAGTTGTAAAAGCCTGGGAGGGCCTTAGTGTTGTGGGTGTCTTTGGGGGGTTTCAGGTTTGGGTTGTGATTCTTGTCTGGGTTGTGCTTTAAACCCTTTGAAAATTATTTATGAATAGGTTCCCTTCATAAGGAAGTAAGGGAAATCAGAAATCTTGTCATCTTTGCGGGTTTAGGCTCATAACAAGTTGTCCTACTCGCACGGCTGTCTAAGCCGAGCCAAAGGGGGAACCAGGAAGCCGCGACTCCTCCCCTAATTTCACGTAAGCCGAAACAGCACGGTGGAAACGCCACTCTGGCTGGGGAATCTGGACTTTGGGGGGTTCGCAAATGTGCCATGATTAATTTAGGGTTCATGATGTTGAGTGCAGCAGGTTCAGCCTGTTTAGTGACATTTGGAGTCTCTGGCGTAGCATGCTTCAAGCTGAGACCTCCCTTTCACAACTTGGAGCTGCAATCCCCTGCTGCTCCCAGAGTTCCTTTTTGGGATTACCTTATAGGGTTCTATATTCTATATACGAACCCCGAAAAGGAACTACTTTGGGGCCTTTGGGTAAACCCTACCCTAAACTCTAACACAAGAAAACGAGTGAGGCACTGGAAACCCCACAAGCGACCGATTCACGTTCGGGTCTGTTCGTTTGCGGTTGTTCGGCGTCTGCTCCGCAGAAACAGTTACAATTATCAGAGCACATCGGGTCAGAGCCCACATCCCTTAACTGCCTTAACACCTCCAACCCTCTCGGCGCATTGAGCATCGTTTAAAAGTAAACCCTACACCCTGAACCCTAAAATAAGCTTAGGAACCTCTCCGAAAACACCGCAGATGCTTGTAGATGCCTGTTAGTTCTATTTGGCCCACTCCTCCCTGGAGTTGATCCGAACAGGAGGCCTTCCCTTAAAGGACACTATAAGGGTACTATAAGGGATTTAGGGGGCCTTCAATAATTAGCATCGGGTTTGGTGGAATATCAAAAAATACTGTGGGAAGCCCTCCGGGGATAGTGTTGTCACCCTAAATCCTAATCATTCAAGCACCGAAACAGACAAGCTGAGCCCTGAAGTTTCGAAACCTAAGGCCATGGGTGCTAATGGGTTTACAGTAGAAGCCAGAAAGTTGGAATATCATTATCGTAACCCCTGTAAGGTAAATTATAGGGGATCCTACCATTAATCCATATTCCAACTTTCTGGAGTTCCCTGTAGGGCTTTGGGGTTTTGGTTTAGGGGTTTACGGTTACTACCTGATGCATACAAATGCACCATCACAAACCCTTTACCTCAAGTCTTGTCGGTTAGCCAGATGCCCCATAGTAGATCCTTTTTGGGATTACCTCATAAGATTCTAAAGATGAACCCAAAAAGGAACTACTTTGGGGCCTCAGGTCAAGGTTTAAGGTCTATCCTCAACCCCAACACCAGAAAGCATTTTCAAACTCCTCCTGAAGCCATGGAAGAGAAGCTGTACAACCCAACTTCACTCTCCCTCCTTCGGTTGATGATATAAACCCTGCAATACCCATGGTAAGGAATATACATGAATATACCATAATTCCCATACTTTAGGTTCCTTAAGGTAATGCCGGACTTATATCATCGACCGTTGCACCTCCTGGCCTGGCGTGTGTCGGCGGCTGTGAGCCCGGCACATGGGCTTCGGACTGCTGTGGCGAGGGTTTCGGGGGTCTCAGTAAAGCAAGTATAAGTCTAACCTATAACTACTGAACTTAGAACCCTAGCACAAATTATCATTTTAGCTGTTTCTTGCGGATTATAATAACCAAAATTAAAAATTATTGCTAAGTACCCCTAAGTAACTATAGAGGCATCTTGAATTGAATGCTGTCTGACAGTTAGAAATTTGGGCTTTTGCACGGTTCGTTACGGGTTTAGGTCTTGACGGTGTTGGGGCCCACGACCTACCGGCAATGTTTGAAACCTTGAGCGCAGAGCCTGCGCTGTGAACCCTTTGCACAACCCGCGCACCCTAAACCCTAAACCTGTGGCAGGTTCTGTATTTTGTGGACTAGTGGACTCAGGTCCATGGGTGAACTGCAGCCCATCGGCCGGAGCAGGAGCACGGGTGCCGCCTAAAACTTGAGCCTGGCGAAGGCCTGCGGTTAGAGTTTGGGAATCTAGGGATTGAAGTGGGCTTAGGGTTAAGGAGCTTCAGACACTACTTGGATCTTCGGTGCTGCAGATGTGACTTGCGGGCTTTGGTTTGGTAGTTTTGCGATTTAGGACTCGGGCGTGCGTGTTCCATAAAACACTGCTTGGAGAGAACGTACGCAATACCACCTTGCAACAACATTTCCAGTTAGCCTTCTGTAGCCTTGACGATCGCGCTTTTCTAGTAGCATACTACTAGTAGCATAGCAACCGTGCCAGTCGTGGTGACGGTAGTTAGTGGTAGTAGTAGCAGCAGTAGTAGTCGTCGTCGTAGTAGTTGACATGGCCGATGCATTTACCAAGGGATGCAGCGGTATTGTTGTCAGCAACAGGAACACTGAAAATCCGTGAACTCGAACGCATCAAGTCAAGCATGTGGTCTCTGTGGCCTTCTAGGTACATAATACGTAACACTAGCTCTACAAACCTGTATGTGTATATATATATATATGTAGTATAGAGAACTTTATGAAGTCTCAACGCTGTAGGAATCCTCAACTCCACAGGCTCAGGTCGGCAGGGGCTGGAGGCACCTGTGCGGCAGCCTCTTGGAACAAGGCGACACGGGCCCCTCCTGGCACTGCTGCTACATAGACCCACAACTCGAGGTCCAAATTCTCAAGGCATCATGCCTACTAAGGTCACTAAAGGCCAGACCCCGTTTTGGCTGCAGCTGCAGCAGGTGGGGGCATCAGGAGCAGGAGCAGGAGGCAGCAGAAGGAGGAGGAGGAGGAGGATGAGCAGGAGGGGAAGGAGCGGTTGTAGTTGTGGAGTTGTGGCGGCAGGGGTGGGACTGGTGGTAGTGGTAATTGAAGAGTCATAGCCCTCAGTCAAGGAAAGCATTCATTATTAGGGGCTGCAGCCTTTCCACGGCCTTAAAACTGAGAGTCTGAATCGTATCAAAACACCGGCCTGTAGCCCAACCAGCTTTGCATATCACTCCTCAAACAACCTAAAGGAAGTCAAAAGCGTATGTACATATTCTAAACGAAAACCATATACATATAGACATGCAAAGGGAGAGAGAGAGAGAGAGAGAGAGAGAGAGAGAGAGAGAGACATTTATTCACATACATACACACAACAAGTGAAATCGAAGCCCAGCTCTTGAAGATACATAGTCTTTGCACAGAAGACAGTGGATACGCATGATACACGGCAACGACTCCTAGTGCTACTGTTGCTACTACCACCAGGACCAGTACCACTACCAGCAGGACCACCAACATCTAAACTAAGCCCAAAGAGATCAAGTCTTATATATCACCTTTTCATAATTGATCGCCCAGACTCTAAACCCTAAACCCTCATCACTAAACTCTAAACCCTGTCCACAGACCCTACACAGGCAGCAAACTTCTACAGCAGCCATGTCTGAACCTTGGCAGCCCTCAAGCCGAAGCGTTTACGTCTATAACCTCCACAAGACCTTTTACTCAAGAACGCTTGAGGGAAACCTCAAGATCCGAAACCGTGCCTCCACGCTTGAGCAAGATCTCTCCGCGGAGTTGCATTCCCCCTGGAGAAGTTCAAAGTTTGGGGCTTTGGAGCTTTGAGGTCTCAACGTGTAGAAAGGTTCAAGGCTTTCGGCCTTCAGTGCGTAAGGATTGAAGGCTTCAGAGTGCTGTGACAAACGAGGGTCCCAGAGCTTAGGCTGGGAGCTGAAGGATTTTTTTTGAGAAGTTTGGGCATGGGAATTCACTAACATGACCCGTGCTTAGGGACGCTCGTCATGACTGAAAACTCGTTTGCCGAATCCCCTTCGGGGCATGTTCGGGAGGATTCAATGTAGGGCTTAGGATGGTTCAGGTTTTTTTCTGGGCTAGGGGTCTTAATGATTTTTTGGACATTGCATTCTGAGGACTCCGCTTTTACGGGCTCTTGGCAGGTGCATCTCGAGCATATGGGTCTTTCTTCAGACATTCCAGGCTAAAGGTTTATACAGCAGAGAGAAATCAAGTTTTTTGCGATTTGGAACCTGCATGCGTCGGCAGGGTTTCTTTTGTAGGGCAAATGGGCGCTGAGGTCCGCAACCCATTTTGCATCCGGGCTTGGGAAATCGGCTGGGAAAGTGAGAGCAAACCCCAAACCCCAAATGCATTCATGTTAAACCTTTTCCCAGGTTCAACGGTTAGGGTGTTCATAAGCCCCAAAAAAGAAAGAGCGCGTAACCGTAGGTGGTGAATAGCCAAAGAATGCCATGGTCATCTTCTCGTTACACCCATCATACCTATAGCCGCCAGTATAGCAAAACTATTGACATCCTCACGGGGAACATTAACAAAAAGGAGGGTGTAGGGTTGCCTGGGTATACTGCCGAATGCAAATCCAGCCTCCGGCTGCAGCAGCGTAGCGGAGCAAGCCGTCGCCGTTTGGTCGCTGCAAGAGCTCACACCTCAGGCATACTTGCAGTACAATGAACCCCAGAAAGTTGGAACATGGGATAGGTCAGCGCTGGGATTCCCTGCAATGTGCCTGGAATGGCATGTGGCACGAGGATACGGATGTTCCAACTTGCTTCTACTCTATGGATCTGCTCCTGTTAGCCTCGTTATTGGACAAATTGGGATATCTTGCGCTATGAGACTCGCGGTTTTGTATCCTTAGGGTTTCGGGTTTAGTTTAGGGTTTGCGGTTTTAGGGTTTGGCCTTGTGTACCCATTCTGGGACCTGCACATCAACAAGGGAATTCACGACTAGGAC